GCATGGCATGTCCAGTGATAGATATTAACCAGATGCTGTTCTACAACAGACCCATGGCCAGGACTGAGTTGTTTCAGGAATCTGATTTCCCAGAATGTACAAGAATAGACATTTGTTCTAAAGCTGGTGCTCAGGTGACATCACATGCCTCATTTTATAAATAGGCATAACTGCTGGGGGCATTAGTACAGGTTCTGTTATTAAACTGATTGGCTGCTACTATAGATATCCACAAACCATCAGATGTTTGAGCATCTACATTAAATTCTGACTGATGGAATTGTTTCTGAACTCATTTGGAAGTAGCAGATATTATATAACAAATGGCAAATCAGATTATTATATTCAAATTCATTACCAATTCTGAAATCTATTTTCTGCTATTACACCTAATCATAATGTGATTGGCCTTACATATTTTGTTCTATTTGTCTTTGATGAGATAGATAATATTATTAAACTATTTTGTTCAAGTTTGCAAACATAAAGATATTAGGATTGAGTTAATACAGTACACCTCTACCCCGCTATAACGCGACCCAGTATAATATGAATTCTGATATAACGCAGTAAAGCAGTGCTCTGGGGAGGCGGGGCTGCGCACTCCGGCAGATCAAAGCAAGTTCGATATAACATCGTTTCACCTATAACGCGGTAAGATTTTTTGGCTCCCGAGGACAGCGTTATATCGAGGTAGAGGTGTAGTGGGCAGAGTCTGAATCCAAAGCAGGAAAGATTTATCATTTAATAACTTCTCACATTTACAATATGCCTTTTATCTAAAAGTCTCAATGCAGTTTACAAAGGTTAGGCTCATTTTACCTATTACCAAACTGAAGCACAGAGAAGTTCATTGACATCATAGACTCATAGACTCTAAGGTCAGAAGGGACCATTATGATCATCTAGTCTGACCTCCCACATGATGCGGACCACAAAACCTGACCCACCCACTCCTGGAAGAATTCTCTCCCTTGACTTAGCTGTTGAACTCCTCAAATCATTATTTAAAGACTTCAAGTCGCTCAGAATCCTCCAGCAAGCGACCCCTGCCCCATGCTGCGGAGGAAGGCGAAAAACCTCCAGGGCCTCTGCCAATCTACCCTGGAGGAAAATTCCTTCCCGACCCCAAATATGGCAATCAGCTGAACCCCGAGCATGCGGGCAAGATTCTCTAGCCAGACCTTCTGGAAAAGTTCTCTGTAGTAACTTTTAATATCCCATCATTGACCATTGTTATCGGCCTATTGACTAAAATCACTGTATCCCATCAAACCATCCCCTACATAAACTTATCAAGCTTGATCTTAAAGCCAGAGAGGTCTTTCGTCCCCACTGTTTCCCTCAGAAGGCTGTTCCAAAACTTCACCCCTCTGATGGTTAGAAACCTTCGTCTAATTTCAAGCCTAAACTTCCCGACGGCCAGTTTATATCCATTCGTTCTAGTGTCCACATTAGTACTGAGCTGAAATAATTCCTCTCCCTCCCTGATATTTATCCCTCTGATATATTTAAAGAGAGCAATCATATCCCCCCTCAGCCTTCTTTTGGTTAAGGTAAACAAACCGAGCTCCTTGAGTCTCCTTTCATACGACAGATTTTCCATTCCTCGGATCATCCTAGTGGCCCTTCTCTGTACCTGTTCCAGTTTGATTTCATCCTTTTTAAACATGGGAGACCAGAACCTGTACACAGTACTCCAAATGAGGTCTC